TTCATCCCTGCTTCCGTAAGAACGGATAGTGTCGGCTTCTCCCCCGGCGACAATCCACGCCGAGCGATGTCCGCGCCGTCGTGGAGATGACGGCCTCCGGTCGCCGGCAAGTCGCGTTCTTTCCGTGACGGAGGATGTGATTGCATGGCTCGGGCGACGCATCCGCATCCTTCCTCCCTTCCCGTTTGCCTGCCCGCCCGTTTGTCTGTCTACCGACCCGCCTGATCTGCCTTTCTTTCCTTCCATCGCTGGTCGGGACGCGCGAAGAAAGAAGTGGCCGGTGATAAAATCGCGCGAAGAAAGCGCCGGACGACGTCATGGCGGTCGCGGCGAACTCTTTCGACGCCTGGCTCAGCAAGAAGCTGCAGGCGCTCAATACGGACGAGGGCGTATTCGGCACGTACATTAAGGGCATCCTCGAGGGCGACGAGACCGAGGACGAGAAGACGGAGGCGCTCGAGAGCATACTCGCGGGTATAACGGTGAGTAAATGTGGAGGTTAGGATGTACGCGCGCGTGCCGCTGCCGCATCGTCAGCCGGTCGGAAATAGATGCGAGGTCGTGTGTCGTCGTGCTCCGAAAGTACATTTTTCTGTCTCCCGTGCACTCTCCTCCAGCGAGTCCTGAGGCCCAGGCACAATGAAAGGGGTTAAACGTAAAGAATCAAAAGTGGAGAATTAAAAATTTTGACATATGGAAAACCTACTTCTGTAAAGTAAAATAATTTATTTAGCGTGGTTTCTCAATGAAATTTAATTTTTTTTCTATTATTTTACGTTTATAATTCTTTATTCTAATTATTGTATTATCTATATATTACCTATAATTCTTTATTCCTGTGCTCTTTGCCAATGTCATTTGGCAAAAATTCAAACACAGATGTAATAGTAATCAGACTTTTAATTAAAAAAAGACATGAAGTTTACATTTATTTCATATATCGATTTTCGAATTTTTTACTTCTTGTGATTTCCAAACGGGATGCGTAGATGCCATGAGAATGTTTCTGCCTCTGTACTTTTGCATGAAACGCATGACTATGCAATGTTTCTTGCGACATATAGTTTCTGTCTTTCGTTACAGGAGGATAATATTAGCAAACATGTAACAGAAATTTTGAGCGCGTGGGCAGAGTGGTTGCCAACTGAGGAGGTGGCCGCTGCGCCTGCACCGACGGAAGATGTTGATGTCAGACTGGCAAAAATGTTAGAATCTCAAAGTCTGCCCACAACAACACAGAGAAGTTACACTGAAGAAGAGAGACGAATACGAGAAGCTATTTTAGCGCAATATAGTCAAATGTCGGACGAGGACAATAGTGAAGGAGATGGAGAAGAGGATGGAGCAGGTGGTGGGGACTGTGGTATCGAAAAGAATTTGAACGCAGCTACTATCATACAGCAAGAAAGAGAAAAGAGAGAGAAGGCTAAACTTGAGAGTCAAAAGAAAAAGGAAAAAGACAAGGAAGATAGGTAAAATAAGTAGCATGATGTACTAAACTTTTGAATGTATGGTAAATATATGTGTAAAACTTTAAATATCGATTTTATATTTTAGAGAGAAGCAAAAGCAACTAAAGGAAGAGAAAAAGGAGAAGAGAAAAACGCAAAAGGGAGAAAGGCGGAGGTAGCATCGAAATAAAAGCGTTGAGAGATTTATTTCGAGATTATCGACTACATATGCTGTGGTATTCATATATGTCTATCTATATTGTCGTGCATGCAACGATCTCCGACAATTATTTAAATCAATCATCGATCTTGTATTCTCATTAGAAGAACATGTGTGTAGCATTCATCTGTCGTTAGAAAAAAAACGAATTCACTGAGTACGAATGCATAATCGCTAAGAAGCGATAAATCTTTGCGATATAATGTTGAATTCATCCTGTGCCTTCTGTCTTTCTAAAATATTCTTTTCTTCAAAAGCTTTGTTATCTATGTATACTTGCGCTTTTGTTCTCTTTATTCATTCTTAGCATTCTAATTTCATAATCTGTCAGAGCTCGAATCTATTCTCATTAATTAAATTTGCGTTGTATCTCATTATATAAAGTATACTGTATTTATAATACGAGTATGTTAAATAAACTATTTAAATCACTGAGATCCGATATTCAACATTGTAGAACATGGAAATCCAGAAAAGGAAAGTATCAAGGGAGGCGTTCTCATTATTTGTATACATATTTTCTTTTATTAGTTATATATTTACACACAAGATACCGAGTCGAAACCGAGTCATCTTGGTATTGCATTAATAATGAAAGACAAACGCAGTAAGATAAAAACAAACGAACAAATGATACAAAAGATGATGATGCTTCAGTATCGTATCATTACATACATATGCATATGTATATATGTATACGTTATACACACATATATATATATACACAAATATACGTACACTGTAAATGTCATTATAATAATCATTTATTATTTAGCAATTCTCTCATTTGCTATAGTTAAGTCTGGGCAGAAATTGACGAACTCGCACGTACACGTTTATAACAAGACATCCGCAATTGAACGCCAAATCACACTCTCTCTTTTTCTCTCTATGAACCCTCACTTCCACATATTTATCGAAATCATTCTTCCTCCTCCCCGTACTCTTAAGATATTCTCACTTCCGCGCAGATTCGCGTATCGAGATCTCTTCTGTCTCTTACAGACCTAACGAAGAGTGATCTTCGTCATTCGCGAAACGCTCGTCCGCGAAACGTGACCGTCGCCTAATAATCTAAACGATCCTCGGTCGCGATGCGCGCCCACGAGACCGTTTTGCACATCAACGAGCTTCTCGTACGAGATACTCGCTCGTGTCTCTATCGTCTAATGAAAACTTACTAGCGCGTCTAATGTAAACGCGTAACTCTATGATTGTCCTACTGGGATGATCTACGAGGCTCGGCCGTCGAAACGGTGGCTCTTCGCAATAAACGCCCTGCGAGGTCCTCTTCGTCGGACGCGTTATCCGTCGCGGAAAGGGGAGAAGGATCACGCACGCACGGCTTTACTTAATTTAGTTCGATAGTGTCTAATCGCATCGTTAAAACGTTAATTAGTTATACGCTGACTTAACGGATACGCCACGCGGAGCGCATTCCTCCGCTGAAACCAGAGGGAACTTTCTTTTATCTTCCTTCGTCTCT